ACATACATACATACATACATACATACATACATACATACATACATACACACATACATACATACAGACATACATACATACATACATATATACATACATACATACATACATTTGGGGAGTCGAAGACCAGGGTTTGGCCCATAGGTACCGCCTAGCTCTACGGCAAGCACTGGCCGCCCATCTTGGGCAACATACCGAACTTCTCACTGATGTGGTGTACGACCAGTACCAAAACAAGTACATGGACCCAGCAGACCAAGTGGTACTTCAACATATGCAGGCCCTCCACACACTCATCACCCACTGGCCACCAGAGCACCTGGGACATGCGGAGAAGGCATGGATGGAGCTGCAAGCTCAACTTCGGAAACAATACTCATGGTACCACGTCAAAGGACCATTGGCAGCTACAATTGCTTATCTGCTTGAGTGGGGTTGGCAGGCCAACAGTCTTTATGATTGGCGCCGCAATGAAACGGCTTTCATGAATGAAGCACACATAGACCTCCACCAACCACGAAAGGCAAACAAAAAGTTCAGCCCGGCGCAGGCCAACCACATCCGCACGTGGAACCAGGCGGCCATCCGATACAAGGAAGGAGATGCCACCAAAACCTGTCCCATTTGCCGAGTCCCGGCCACACCAAAACACATCATTTGGATGTGTAAGTGGCACCACGGGCGCAAGCACCCACCAATGCCCATCCCATGGACGGAACGGCTCCAAGACCCACTCGAGGAGCCCCTATGGGCCTATGGATGGATCCCAAAGGAGCCTCAAGACCACCTCACTGACCCGATTGGGCTGGAAGGACATGGGTCTTGGAAAACACTTGAGCCTTTGCCACTTCAACCATGGCAAGACCTCTCCGTCACAATCGATGCCACACCGACCTCAGCGGACCCCAAAGCCCAAGCATGGATCTATGCACTATGCATTCATGGATACTCCTTGGGAGCTTTGCAACGAAAGGGGACCATCGCAGGCATGGGCAAGGGCGCCCAAACCAAAGCCCGCGCACTTTTCCAGGGCCTACTGACATTGGCCCCAGTTTATCCAGACACCCACTCGTGTGGCAATCCAGGTCAGCGCTGTGTGGGGAGCGTGGACCAACCCCAGCAAGCGGAAAGGCTTCCAGGACCTTGCCCAGGGTCATCCAGCGGAATACTACTCCCAAATCACACCGCTCTATATCCACAAGAACCACAAGACAACAGAAGCTCCCGGCAATGAGGGGCAGCGGGACGCGGGGAACGGGCCACACAAATTCACAATTCAGACACAGAAGCATGGCAACACATCTTGGACCACGACCATTACGAGATCTACCAACATGCAGCCCAACGATTGGCAAGCATTTATGAGGACAAGGACCACTATGTGCACAGCAAACCTGGGCGTGCAACTGGCCACAAAACCAAACAACGTAAGAAGAACCTCATAGATCAATGCAAGCAGCCAGGGCAATCAGGCAAACACCAGTGGAAACCCCACAGAAGTGGGTACCAGTGCCACGCATGCCTTACAAGGGTACACCACTGACCGTACCAGCGCCAGAACCGGATCTCCAACCAGGCAAAGCAGTCGGCAAAAAGCCCACAAGAGCCAGCCGAATTGCCACCATCCTGAAGACGCAACAGGATCATCCCACCACGGCTGATGCCCATGTCTACCAGGAGACTGCCGGGTACCTTAAGTGCACCAAATGCAATCAGGCAGTACACAAACGAGCCAACGAGGAGATCTTCAACAATTTCCTTGAGAGCACCTGCATTGATGGCGCTTTCCCGATAGACCTGAGAGTGCTGAAGAGGAAATCCCAGAGGTCGACCCCATCACTGTCGACTTCTTCTGAAATGGAGCTGAGCCTGGCCATTAGGAACCAACCAGCCCAAAAGGGGCACCACTAAGCAACTTCAGAAGAGAAAAATACATACATACATACATACACATACATACATACAAACAAACATACATACATACATCCATACATCCATCCATCCATCCATCCATCTATCCATCCATCCATCCATCCATCCATGCATGCATGCATGCATACATACATACATACGATGATTAAGTATGTCCCCCACACCCTTTCATACACTGTCCTAAAAGTATACTTTCTCAAAACGTTGGCCCTGCCTTTCATACAATACCAAAGAATCAATGATTTCCAAAGTTCGACCCTGCGGGTTCATACAACTTGTGCTAGGGCTGCTAGAGTTTCCTGGGGTGGGCGGTGGCGTTGTAGACCCCACCCAAAAATACAAGACGACCAGCAGACGCACGCGTTCTCCGTTGTTTTCCCGAGAATCGTTGCCAAGGCACGCTTATACGACGCCCCCCCACCCCAAACAAATCAGCCTGAACACCAATCTCCAAGGGCCTGGCCACATCCACATTTGCCCACCAGGGGACCAAAGTACCGCAAGAGAATGTTCTGTACACTACTGCGCAGTGGCGTGGTCAACCTTTATGGTGTGCGTGCATTTGGCCTTAGCTTCTGGGCCTGTCTACCCCCTCTCATACATTTTTAGAGGTTTTTGTTGACCCTGACCCCATGTCATACAATGGCGAAAAATGTATACTGTATATTTGCGTAGTCTGCCCCCCCTGTGCATACAGTCAGGGCTTGAGCCATCCCCTGCCTTTCATACATAGTCCTAAAACAGTGTTTCCAGAAACAGCGAGGGCCCGAGGGAACGAGACAAATGTCTACGTTGCATTGAGACATCCTTGTTCTCTATGTCACACCCCCTGTTCCAAAATTGCTTTTCAACACCAGTCCCACCCACTTACATACGAATGCAATGTAACGTAATGTAATGCAATGCTTTGTAGAGTAATGTAATGTATTGTATTGTATTGTATGTGTTGTGTGTGTATGTAACGTAATGCAACGTAATGTAATGTAGTGTAAGGTAAGGTAGTGTACGCTAAGGTAAGGCGAAGATCCATGTATGTGTATGTATGTATGTATGTATGTATGTATGTATTAATGTAATGTATGTTATGTATGTATGTATGTGTATGTATGTGCGTACGTTTGTATGTAACTGCATGTATGTATTCATGTATGTATGTATGTTTGTTTGTATGCATGTATGTATTAATGTAATGAAACTTAGTGTAGTGTAATGTTGTGTAATGTGTAACGTGTAACGTATGTATGTATGGACACATGTACAACCGTGCACACATACAGTACATACACCTTTTTAGCGCTGCCAATCCTTGCAAATCACCACACGTCACTATACTTGGTGTCCACAATTGACCAACCATTCGCAAGAACTTTCAAAGTTCTTGCCAACGATGGCTCAAGATAGGACCTGTATTTTGTTTATCTCTCTTTCTATATTCATCTCTCTCTTTTCATATCTATTTGTTTGGTCACCCCGCTACCACCCCTTAACATACTGTTCGTACTAGTATCTGCAGTATATTGTTATTGTTTAGTTTTTGGTTGTTTGTACACACCTACTCAAGTAAATTATTTACAATGCATTCATTTTTATACATACTTGTGATCTCCCATTACATTACACTACGCAAATGTTAAACCCTGTCTGTGATATTTGTGCTTGTGAGTTTTGTACTACATATACCATTACAAAACCAATCACATTTTTAAGGGTGAATTTTGGTTTAACATCCAAAACCGTTTTATTGGTTTCCCTTGTTTTTTGGCTGGGGCCAAAAAACATACATGTGTTTTTTGGTCTGTTTAAAGCTATGGCCAAGGAAGATCAAACAAAAAACAAAAACATAAGGTTTTGTGGTTTCTGAAGATTCAGCAACAATGAAACCAAACATAGATAGGACAACAATCTTGGCTTTTCAAGATCATCTTTAACAATCGCCAGTCAAAAATAACACACACGGTTTGTTTTGGTTTCCCATATTCCAAAACGTAAGAAACCAAATGAAACACCAGAAACACATCTTCAAAATGTGTTTATTTTTTGTTTTGTGCTTTGATCCACATACCTGGAGAAATCTATTTTCCCAGAGATCCAGAGGGACGCTTTTGGAATGACAACTTGTATATACTGTAAACTTTTTAAACATAGAAGTGATCATTCCCAGAGATCTAGAGGACAACTTTTGA